AGACCAATCCAGTTGATACAGACTCAACACGGATTGCCCGTGATGTTCTCACAGCAGACTCACTCTTGTCTCCCACACTTCTAGAATGACTCAGATGAATGTTGTTATAGGTAATACTATTCTCAAAATAAACTACAGATATGTAGGTAGTATGTGATCGTAGCATGATTTCTTTCAACATAGTTGTTTATAGATTGACAAATCTGTTTATATATTATGAAATCTGAATTTACAGTTATCAACATTTCCCTCCTCATCTATGTTTTTGTGAGCAACCCATGAAGCTGCTCGCCATCCTTTTATCAGACTGGACTGACATTTCAAAATGAGACCTTTAAATATTTCAGTAATGATGGTTAATGATCTGAGGTTTGAACTCATTTCAAGCCCTACAAACTTTCTAGAGCAGATTCAACACTCACCTCCCAGAATAGCACTGTAACCTAATTTACTGAGCTTGAATCCTGAGTACATGTGCTGTCTTCATATAGCGGGACAGTGACTTGCACATGCAGGGACCCCAACAGAAAATCAACCAGTAGTCGAACCTCTTAGAATGTCCTTAGAAGATTTTACTCACAGTGACACTTTCAATAAATAGATAAGGAAAATTATTATTTACTTTTGACTTTTAGTTATTAGACTTTATTTAAAGACTTTGAACTGTCAAATGACTGTAGTTTATGGGGATGTTGTTCTATGCAACTGCATGCTGTAAATTAATAAATATAGAATAAAAGATTAGAAAAACAAAACTCCACACTGATGTTTTTTCCAGGATAGATGTACATGGATTCTGACACACTGCATTGTGTATGTCTGCCAGAAGCTTTAATTTATTTGTTTTTATTTTATTTTAATTAATTATTTATTTATTTATTTAAAAACCCCTAAAACTATTAAACAAATTTCTGAAATTTAAAATTTTCTGTAATTATAATACATTTTAAAATATAATGTATTAGATAATAAACTTAAACATTAAAAATTGAAATGCTGCCTTGGCAACTAACTGAAATGAATAAGTTGAAGTACTAAAATTACTAAAACGGGAATAAAAACAAATTAAAGCTAAACAGAAATATTAGGGGGGAAAAACTAAAATGATAAAAGCACATAACATTTTTAAAACTCAAATAAAATTGAAGTGAAAAAAATATATATAAATGAAAGCTATAATAAATATAAAGAAAAATTGTATACATGCTGTTGAACAGTTTGATAGATTGTGAATATATAAATAAGAGTTAAATAATATAAATAAAATATAGGTATAAGTATTAAATATAAGTATAATATAAATAAGAGTTAATTGCAGCGGTTCAGCAAAGTGTGCATATGGAATAAATCTAATAGAACATACCTTAAAACAATTCAGCTGTATAAATGTAACACGCTCAACTTATATGTTCCATTGTACTGTTATTGTTCAAATGTATTAGTTTATGTTAAGAAATTATGTATTTATTAGTACAGTGTTTTTGTGTCTATTTGCAGGGTCTCCATACTATGACAACGTGCGCCCCCTCTCTTACCCAGACGCTGATGCAGTTCTCATCTGTTTTGATATCGGTCGACCAGAGACTCTGGAGAATGTGCTAAGGAAGGTAAGCTGATTTTAAAGACATTTGTTCATCGATGCTGAATGTTTTAAACTGTTGTAGCTCTGAATTGTGGTTGGGATATTCTCACAAGCCCCATCTTTGTGGCAATGAGAACAAAAGTCCAGACATCTGAAAGAAGAGTCCTATGAATGAAAAAGGGGATGTGTGGGAGGACTTTGATCCTTTGATTATCACATGAGGGGGAGAACGACAACCAATAAGAGCTTGTTTACGTTGGGTCTCAGAATCACAGAGGCTTTGTGCCACAGAATGCTTTGTAACCTCTGATGTCATTGGGAGGCAAGAGGTTTTGAGAGAGCAAGAATTAGCCATTTTGGGGCGCTTCAGTCTCCATTGGTGCTCCCACTGACTATAGTGATCTGTGGATCTGTGCCAACTCTATGCTGATGTCATCAGGAGTGTTTCTAGGAGAACTGCTCCAATCACTATACTGTCTGCCAGAGTTCTCCACTGGCTAGAAGGAAAAATTATACTTAAACCTAAATGAAGTCCATGTCATGGAGTCATGAAGAACAATCAGTTTTACTGATATTAAGATAACATTTATTTTAATAATATAATTAATTCAATATATACGCAACCATAGTATTTATTAATATTTTGATGTAGTTTTTACTTTTAGATTTTCAGTTTTTATTTAAATACTTCAGCTTAAACTTATTTTTAGTTAGTTATCAAGGCAACATTTCTAATTTTCAATTTTAAAAATGTTGTTTTTCATCTAATATTTACACGTTTTGTATTTTATTTTGCTTTATTACAAAAAAATGTAATCAATTTTTGATAGTTTTAGTTAACAATAAGAACACAGGTATGTATCAGAATTTTCTTTAAATACATATGATTTTATGATTGTCATCTAACACTATGTTTTTAAATCCTTTAGTGGAAGGGAGAAATCGAAGAATTCTGTCCCAATACTAAAGTAATTTTGGTTGGATGCAAGTCAGACCTGCGTGCAGACCTGGCCACATTTGTGCAGCTGTCCAATGATATTCCTTCATCGTATGACCAGGTGGTTTTTAAAGAACATTTCATACCTTCAATGAAACAATAACAGCTGCAACATACAATTTCAAAAGCTTGTACTAGAAAATAATGCAATTAAATCCTTAGCATTTGAAGTAACATAGGATTAGTAGTAGCTAAAGTATGTTTAACCAAGGACCCCTTGGTGTTGGATGGGCTATAATTACATGCATAGTACCATATTCATGTGCTTATACTTTAAGATGCTTAGTTTGCAAACCATAAAAATAATCATTATTGTTGCAAACAATCATATACTTGTACATTAAACTTGACATGGGGGGGGGGGGGGATATATATCCATATGCGTTTTCTTATATTTTTGGAAATCAGGTATTTGAGTCATTTCTAACTATTTGCTTTAGGGTTCAAACATGGCTAAGCTGATCTCGGCTCCTTACATCGAGTGCTCAGCGCAGCAGTCCGAGAGCAGCGTGAGGGACATTTTTCGCATAGCCACACTGGCCTGCATCAGTAAAAGCAACAAGAATGTGAAGCGCATCAAGTCCAGCAGAGCCACCAAGAGGACTTCACACGTATCTAACAGGCCTGAGCTGGACTCAATGTCACATCTACACAAGACCAAGGCAAAAACCTGCACAGTCATGTGATTTCAGAAGCCATTTCATCTGCATGCATTCCTTCTCCTATCAGGATTCTTTCTACAAGTCCAATGGGGCATTGATGGGACATGAACTGAAGGGAGATTTTTTGCACTTCACTATATTCACAATATGTACGACTGAGTCAGTGACGTATTAATGATGATGCAGTCTATTCTCCCCATTTTAAAGCACCTCGAAACATTTTTAGCCATCATAAAACACCTAAAGCAGGGAAAATGTTCCTATGTACTGCCAAATGAGCACTTATAACTTTGTAGAAGCTGTCCAAAGAAGAATTTCCTTTGCATTTTGTTGTGTTATAATATTTCATTGCAGCGCATTCCCAGTTTATGGATGAAACTAACTTGGATTAACGCATGGTCAGTGTTGCTAACGTTAGTCCTGTACTATTAGACCTGACTGCACCAAAAAGTGTCAAATAATGTCACAGATATACATTGTAGGTATTTTTTTCTATATGAGATATTAATATGAGGCAATAAATGAAGCATACCTGTTGAAAAACCTGTTAACTCATGTCATTATATGCAAATCCATCCCAAACACCATACAGCCTAAAAACCTTTCTTTTAAGTCACAGTTGTAAAACAAATCACGGACTATGATTTATTATACAGTAAGCTACTGTACCTGAAACGTCCTTCTTTGACACTGGCAAAAGGAGTTTCTTACAGCTTTCTAGTGCATTTAGTTTGATCCGACACTACCATCTGCAGGATATAATTGGAAACGCAGGTAAATTGGGAAAATATGAAAATACTGTAAAAATAGTGTATGCTAAAAATCCTTTATTTATTTTTATTTATTGAAAGATACACTTTTAGAGAGAAGGAGAATGCACCTAGTTGATGGGCTTGCAAAATCTATTTCATGGTAAATCTATTTAAAAGGTTGGGATAGAAAAACATTTTCAAAAAAACAAAACAAAATGAAAAAATTGTAAAAATCATTATCACAGGATGCAAATTCACTTACACATTCCATATAAACTTTCTTATAGATAATTTATGTCATTCATTTAATCAGCTTAGACCTGTGCACTGCCTTGGCCTAAAGTGTCAAACTGAGCTTTTTTGTTGCGATAACATTTGAACAGAAAAACAAAAATATGTAAACGGTTGAATATTTATATTTATTGCATTTACAATTGTCACCCACACGGGGGCATCAGAAACTAATGAAAGAAGGATTTCATGCAAACTGTGGACAAACCCCTTGTCCAACCTCTTTGTTTTACTACCAAATTATATGTAATATCTAACTATTATTAATAATTTAACATACATTGGAAAGGTTTCCGTGACCTCTCGCGAGATCTCGGCAAAAACTCTCACGATTTATTTCCACGACATGATCCGGAGCGGTATTCGAGATAGTGTGGATTTAGTGTGCACTAAATGAAGGGCACTGCGCTTTGCGGTTTTTAAGACCTGGGACAGTCTTGCGCACTCGCTCGTGTTGCAACATGTGGTCAATTATTATTAGTATTATTCTTATCATATTCTTACCAGCAAGGACAAGATAACCTTAAATTAGACATGTTAAACTGTAAAATTCTTTTCCTCTAAAAATAAAAAACACATTTAGTGTACAAAAAATAAAAATAATTAAAAAATAAGGTGCATTCACAAAAGAAAATAAGTTTGACATTATTTGTAAAAGATCTAAAAACCCTCACATCTGACAAATTAATATACATGCAATTAAAACAAAAGAGTCTTTGTTATTATAAATAAAAGTGCCTTTAAAAAAGGCAACAGTCAAGCAATGTAATTTAGTAAGCATTTTGTGTCCACAGGGCTATGCATTGTAGTTATATTTTTCAATTATGTAAGTCATATCAAATATGTAAACATGCAAGAATTGCCAGAATTGCTTTGAGAAGTGCACAGTTATTTATACAGAAGCATTTGCTTTGAGTGGCTCCTCTTGCTCCTTTTGCCTGTCAATAAACTGCAGGTCAATGGATGTGGCAGGGACCAGCAGAGTTCGTGTGATTGGCTTCACAGTCCTTCCTGAAGGGTCTGGACACACTTCATAGTGTTTAATTAACTGCAGAAGGAAAAATAATTAAGGCATATTGGCCTAAAACATGCACGGTTTATTAAAGTTTAATGTTAATTACAGGCAGCAACATGCTAAAACCTTAATCTTAGTTACTCACTGACAAGCAGAACTATCTCTGTAATAGCAGAGGAAGTTAGACCAAAGGTGAAGGACTGCAGATTAGTCAAAGATCTAAAACTAACACACCAAAATGATCAGCTAAACTGGGTCAGGACAATCATTGGTGACGTGGATGGGTTCAAAGTTCATGGAATGATCTAAATGTGCATTCCTTTGTTTTATACTATTTAAAATCATCAAAATGTCAATGTGGCCTCAGATTTCTGAGCTTCACTGTACAGTATATAGAACCAAAAATGTCAAATGTCACCAAAGTGTCATAAGTTTAAATCATCTGTGAGGTACAAGAAGAACTTTTTCTATTTATATTATAACAGAAAAATCCGTGAAATGGTGCTGACTGATATGTATCCTTCCTTACCCGGGACAAGAGGAGGTACATCTCCAGTTCAGCCACTCTGCGGCCCAGGCAGGCGCGGATGCCGAAGCCAAACGGCACAGACCCGAAGGGATGCTGGCTTAACTGCTTCTGCTCCCGGATCCATCGCTGAGGGAGGAAGGCAGAAGGATTGGGAAACACCTTCTCATCGTAGGACACTGCAAAGTGGCAGAGGTGGAAAAGAGTCTGGAAAACACCAAATACACTGCGCTGATTAGTTTGATCGTCTGTTTACAGATCATACAACATTAAATGTACATCATATTCCATTTGTATTTGTTTATGAAATGGCAGTTTGTAGCTCAGCTTACATTTTTAGGGAAGAGGTGGCCACCCACCACTATTTCTCTTTCAGCAACGACACGAGCATTCCCAGGAACCACCGGATATAAACTGCAAATGTCAGAGAACATGTTTCTCTGGATTAATTTAGCAAGCGAACACAACACTGTTTTCACTATTTTCACACTGCACTAGCATATTAGGCAGCTTTTAATTAAACAGTTCACCCAAAAATGAATATTTACTGAAATGTACGCACCCTCAGGCCATCCAAAATGTAGATGAGTTTGTTTCTTCATCAGGACATACTAGGAGAAATTTAGCATTGCATCACTTGCTCACCAGTGGATCCCCTGCAATGAATGGGTGCCGTCAGAATGAGTGTCCAAACAGCTGATAAAAACATCACAATAATCCATAAGTCTTGTGAAGTGAACAGTTGCGTGTTTGTAATAGACAAAATATGAGTCCTTTAACTATAACATTGCTTTCTCTGGTTTCTCCACTGATTGACTAGGGTTGTGTGGATCACTTGTGGATTATTGAGATGTTTTTATCAGCTGTTTGGACCCTCATTCTGACGGCACCCATTCACTGCAGAGGATCCAAAACCTGTTCCGATGAATAAACAAACTCAACTACTTCTTCGAGTAAATTTTAAGCAACTTTTCATTTTTGGGTGAACTATTCCTTTAAATATGTTTATAACAGTATAACTGAGATATACAGAAGATACTATACCGAAGAGTCTCTCTAATGATGGCTTTTAGCAATGGCATCCTGGTGATGTCTTCACTGCAGGGCACTTTTTCACCAGGGCAGACACTGATAACCTCCTCATACAGCTTCTGCTGGATCTCTGGCTCTCGTGCCAAGTGATACAGTGCCCAGGAAATAGTGTTTGATGTCTAAAATGAGCATGCATTAAAAATGCTGAATCTCAAATATGTTGCAAATACTAGTGTGAGATTCTATAACACTCTGTGGCCTTCGCCTTCTGTACCCCGTTGCATTAGCATTACATCACCAGGCAATCACAAGACATGATATATATACGTAGCTGTTTTTTCCTAGACGGTCTCATTCCATTTCCCTGCTTGTGCTGAGTTAACAGTTTCACTTCCTCTGTTACTTATATATATTGAAGCCCCTCACAATAAAGATTTGAACCTTGAGTGAACTACACTTCTTGTGTCTGTGTCATTCTTGGTCCCTGGTACCAGCTTCTGTGCTCCACCGCTCAACTGCTCAACTGCTTCTTCTAACAACTAGTGACACTTATTTATTGCTTATTTCTTTCTTTTAGTTTTAAATCAAATGCTGCAAATGGCAAGATTGTTTATAAAATGAAACTACTACAAAGTATTTGTTGCAATACATTGCATACGTAAAGAGTGAAGATACTTACAGTGTCGACTCCAGCCAGCAGAAGCTCTGTAATGCTTCCTAAAACCTCAGTGAAGGACATCTGTTCACTGATCAGGAGGTGTGTGAGATACTCGCCCTCCACTGGCTGCCCATGTTTCACCATTTCCTGAATCTCTGTCATCTTCTTCTGCACCAGTTCATCCGCTTTGCAAAAAAAAAACTGCATATTTGAAGATGATTGCCATTCTCTTCCCTGATGAGTATGTTTTGAATAGAGACACTCTAGACTACTGTTCAAATGTTTGGGGTACTCCAGTCTTCAGTGTCACATGATCCTGATTTGGTGCTCAAGAAACATTTCTTATTAATGAAAACATCTGTGCTGCTTAATATTTTTGTGGAATGTATCCACAAGTGATTTTTTTCAGGTTTTACTGCTGAACAGAAAGTTCAAAAGAACAGCATTTATTTGAAATAGAAATCTTTTGTAACATTATACTGTAAATGTCTTTATGGTCGCTTTTGATAAATTTAATGTATCTTCACTGAATAAAACTATTAATTTACTTTTTTAAAAACCGTACTTATCCCAAGACAACAATAAAAAATAAATGTATTCATAACAATAATTATATTAATTTAATGTTTTTTGTTTTGTTTTTAGCTTTTAAACATGACAGTAATAGGAATAGACTTACCAACTTTGAACAAATGATCCCAAACAGCAACAAAATGCTTCCAAAAAGGCATGTAGGGCCAGAGAGATTTGGGGAACAGGATCACGATGGGAGAAAGACGGAACATTTCCCCAACAGAGAAGATAAACTTCTGTGTTTCTTCAGGAACCACATCATTCAGACACCCCATACGAGTTTCAAACAACACTGAACATATTCCTTATGAAGGAAAGACAAAAACCTATATTAGTGTGATGGACACCACACTTGTTATCAAATATAAATCAAACTATGTACAGTATATATACTGTGTAAATATATATATATATATGTGTGTGTGTGTGTGTGTGTGTGCACGTGTGCGTGTTATAAAAAAACTACAACTAAAATCAAAATTACACAGGAACAAAACAATGCAATATTATTAGGCAATATATACAGTATATTAGAGCATAATTGTTCTCCAGGTATTTTTATGATGCTGATCTATTTGAAAGGTAGACTAGTAAAGTCAGCTGCACGTGACTAGAAGCTATGAACTTGTCAAGGCCAATGCTCTTTATAGGATAACAAGTGGCCTTTTGTTATCTAATGTGTGGCATTGACCCTTTGTACTCACTTGATTCATTAAAACAGCTAATATGAATGCTTGGGAATGACTCTATGGCATAATTCAATATCTTGACCTTGGAATTACCCAATATGTTATACCTTCAAAGGCAAACTTGTACAGTTCTCCTGCCACATCATACACCATAACGTCATTGCCTTTTGTTGTCCTAAGCTTAGCCACCTTCTCAATAAAGTCGCTCACCACACCATTAATGGCATTGGTGTAGGAGGACACGTGTTTGGGCTTCAGCATGCGAGGATTCAGGATGCTTCTAATGCGCTGCCACTCCACTCCCATTCTGAAACGGGACAATAAATACATTATGATTATTGTCATTTCTGTCAGCATAATTACTTTCTCAAAAATCTTTGCATGATAATTTGCTAACAAAAAAAAAGCATTTTGGGCATTTTATATTCAAAATATGTTCAGAACATTGATTATGCTGTAACTGATCAAATCCATGCTGACCTCTAAACACTGAATGAGTAAGCCCTCAATTTTTTCTTTTTAGTTTGGAATTCCTCAAAACCAGTTTTCCCACTAACACTTGCAATTATTGTCTGCCTCTGCTGTCATCCTTCACAGAGATTTCAATTTCTTTGTTCACTGAAAAATCTCAAAAACAATTCCCTATTTATTCCCACTAACATGGGCTTATGTAGCATACAGATTCCATTAATTTTTTTCTTGAATTAGGTTTTGGTTTAACTGTTCAACGGACACAATAATGTGTGCCCTCAGTCATGTTTTCATTTTGTACTCACTTTCTAAGCAATCAGTTGCAAGCTGCTAGCTATTCATGTTCAGACATGCACTACATTTGTGGCTTCATAACATCTGCAGATGTTTTTATGTATACTTCTGCAGCAGCTGACAGCATTATGGTTGCACATTATGTGTGCAATGAATGCATTTAAATAACAGATGAATGCTTGTGCCAATAATACTGGGGTTTCCAGTGCTACTTACTCTGTGAGGGGTCCATAGGCATGATTCCGGAGTTTTCGGTAGCCTCTCCAGTGGGGTATGATGCTGATCTATTTGAAAGGTAGACTAGTAAAGTCAGCTGCACGTGACTAGAAGCTATGAACTTGTCAAGGCCAATGCTCTTTATAGGATAACAAGTGGCCTTTTGTTATCTAATGTGTGGCATTGACCCTTTGTACTCACTTGATTCATTAAAACAGCTAATATGAATGCTTGGGAATGACTCTATGGCATAATTCAATATCTTGACCTTGGAATTACCCAATATGTTATACCTTCAAAGGCAAACTTGTACAGTTCTCCTGCCACATCATACACCATAACGTCATTGCCTTTTGTTGTCCTAAGCTTAGCCACCTTCTCAATAAAGTCGCTCACCACACCATTAATGGCATTGGTGTAGGAGGACACGTGTTTGGGCTTCAGCATGCGAGGATTCAGGATGCTTCTAATGCGCTGCCACTCCACTCCCATTCTGAAACGGGACAATAAATACATTATGATTATTGTCATTTCTGTCAGCATAATTACTTTCTCAAAAATCTTTGCATGATAATTTGCTAACAAAAAAAAAGCATTTTGGGCATTTTATATTCAAAATATGTTCAGAACATTGATTATGCTGTAACTGATCAAATCCATGCTGACCTCTAAACACTGAATGAGTAAGCCCTCAATTTTTTCTTTTTAGTTTGGAATTCCTCAAAACCAGTTTTCCCACTAACACTTGCAATTATTGTCTGCCTCTGCTGTCATCCTTCACAGAGATTTCAATTTCTTTGTTCACTGAAAAATCTCAAAAACAATTCCCTATTTATTCCCACTAACATGGGCTTATGTAGCATACAGATTCCATTAATTTTTTTCTTGAATTAGGTTTTGGTTTAACTGTTCAACGGACACAATAATGTGTGCCCTCAGTCATGTTTTCATTTTGTACTCACTTTCTAAGCAATCAGTTGCAAGCTGCTAGCTATTCATGTTCAGACATGCACTACATTTGTGGCTTCATAACATCTGCAGATGTTTTTATGTATACTTCTGCAGCAGCTGACAGCATTATGGTTGCACATTATGTGTGCAATGAATGCATTTAAATAACAGATGAATGCTTGTGCCAATAATACTGGGGTTTCCAGTGCTACTTACTCTGTGAGGGGTCCATAGGCATGATTCCGGAGTTTTCGGTAGCCTCTCCAGTGGGGCATGTCAGTACGGATGGGATGGCGACCCTCTTGCCGTAGAACCTGTTCTATGAGGTCTGCATTGGCCACATTAACAACAACCAGTGGTCCATATTTGGACTTCCAAAGGGGGCCGTAGATTTTGCTGTGCTCTATCTGCATTAATTACACATTTTAGTGTAAATAAAGATTCAGTGTTAATTTTAAAACAGGTTACATATTATAATTATTCTATTACAGACATAATTTCAGGAAATTACTGACAATGTCATCCCACTCCTTCACATAAAGTAGTGAAAGATATAAAACCGTGAAATATACATAACAAAGATGAAAAAACCCAACATAACTTTCCCAGCAGAAATTAAGCCAATAATTTGGAGATTAAACGTGTTAGTTTTTTTTAAACACTTTTTATGAATCTTTACCTGCATTTGGTGTGTCGTTTGAAAATAACCTTTCCCAAAGAGCCAGTATAATGATGTCAGAAAGCTAGGACCATCCAAGTCGTCCATGGTTTTTTGTTTATCACCACCTATTAGTGTACTGGTTGTCCGAGTGAGGAATACCGATGTCAGGCATTTTATTCCTCCGTAGTCCTGCTTGCATAAAAATAATCCAGTTCTCAGCACCGAATGGGAAAACATGTCTAATCTCGCAGTTCGCAACTCAGTCTGTACAATAGCCCTGTTACAGCAGTGTGCTGCCCTGCAATGGCAGTCTGTGGCAAAGCGACTCTTCCCCTGCAGATGAACTCAAGTAAACTCGCTTGTTTTCGATGGGATCTGTTCCTGTTGAGATTCTGTGAGAGCCGCCAGTGTTACCCTTACAAACATGTATCTCCACGGCAATCATTGTTTCTGCCAAAATACAACTGTTACTACTATAAAATCGTAATAATCAACAATGTAAGAATGTAATCTTGCATCGTATCACTGTAAATTCAAGCGAATGTATACTACCGAGCAAGCGTTTAAGGGGCAGTGAAGACTTTTACATGTTTTTGTAATAAGTCTCTTATGCTCACCAAAGCGGTTGAACAATTACTCCGGTCTTGAGTGTCACATGATCCTTCAAAGATCATTCTAATATGCTGGTTTGGAATAGAATGTTTAAAAGAATAGAAAGCCCTTTTAATATAAGATAAATTATCTAAAAAAATTATTTGCAAATCAACACGATGGTACAAATGAACTCATGGCAAGTGAAATGTGGAAAGATTTTACCTGGTTTTATTAATGCTTTCGTATAAACATCTGACAGTGTTTTATGGGAAAAGGCTATGAAAATCACTCTGGCATTTTTAGGTATTTGGTTACGATACATTTTTGTAATGGTATAAAAAACGAGCAACTTCATGTTTCCATGCATAGCACAGAGACAGTTACAGTATACGCACAAAAAAAAAAAAAAAAAAAAAATGTTACATGCACACTTGCTCAGGGTCATAGAGGGAACATTATTTCACCATCTGTTTCAGAAACAAACCAATGCATGTTTTAAAGTTTGTGCCTCCAAACAGTCTCTCTTCAAGATGCATGTCTCAAGAGCCACTGCATAACGTTCAAAAAGATTTATGTTGAAACCCTCAACATAATTAGAGCAACAATTCCTATCTCACAATTACTCGACTAGACTTGATCAAGTTAATCTTTCCATAACATGAAGCTCAGTTAAACTTTGCAGCTCAGATGCTGAAAATTATATTCTGCTATATGAAGACAATCAAATGATCAACAAACAAATATCACAAAAGAAATCTTTATTAGTCTACACACAATTTTAATGATCAAACACTTCCCACAGAACTACATTTACCACACCAGTCAACCCTGCTACATTACATTGAATGGCATGTCATATTTTGCAATTAGTGCTCAAGAAGGACTGGCTAAGGACATCCTTTAAGAGTGAGTGTTGCTTTTGGGCCTTCCAGAGGCATACAGTAAGACACACACAACACAGAGACTTCTACCTCTAAATGGATATCATATTTTTATGCAATAAAAAAAAAAGGGTGTACTTAAATTCAAGAGAATGGGATGGATAGTCAAATACACCTTATATACAAGGCACAGTTTGTTATAAGCAAATGTCTCCGAATTATCAAAAGAGAGACAAATTCAAGTATTGCAGGTCGGGTAATGTGTAAATATCGGAGATTGAGCTTGGCACCTTCATTTACTGGTGCTCCTTAAGACTCCTTATAATATGCTGCTGAATCACTTCTGCTTGAGTATTTTAAGCCTCAAAAATATAAATATATATATATATATATATGTATATATTATAAGAAGACCATGGTGACCTTTCTAAACAGTTATTTCACAAACAGATATATTTCTATAACCTCTGAGGAAGCAATTATAGGACATTCCTATAAAACTAACATCTATGCAGTAGCATTCTCAACAAAATAAATACTTTTTCTTAATTTACTAATACAGCAAACCCCCCAGCAATGTGTCCAATTGCACAGCTTTTGCTGATCCAAGTATTACTAAGAAACTGGGGGGAAAAAAAAGATTTCCTAACTGAGAAGTTGACAGGGATTTGGATTCAGGTATCACAAAGTTTTAACTAGTGAAAACACTTCCTGAACACCTGACCCTCTTTCAGCATCAGGTGTCCCACACGTCTTTGCGGTTAGTCATCGTCACTTTCACTCCCAGACTCACTCAACTGGAGATCATTTTCTGAAATGAATCAAAACATATTAGACACACAAAAGAGAGTGATAGACCAACCAAAATCACCCAGATGCCCTGAAACTCACTAAGTGTGTTCATTAAATGCCCGCTGCTCTCCTCCACACGGCTTTGAGATGTGTTGATGGCAGAGGTGCTCTGGGGGGGAGCTGGGGCCAAATTATGTGGGGGGCGATCCTCATCCTCTGAATCACTGCTGCTGGAGCTGTCCCCGCTACTGGAGGATGAGGAACTGTGGGAATCTGAGGAGCTGTCCCCACTGCTCATCTGATCCATGACACGCGCCTCGGCCATCAGCTCTACAGAAACACATAACACAAGAAGGATTAACTAAAGAATTCCAGTACACTACTGTTCAAGGGGTTTTGGGTCAGTAAGATTTTGTTTTTGAAAGCAGTCTCTTATGCTGCTCACCAAGGCTGCACTTATTTAATGAATAAAGCAAAAACAGCAATATTGTGAAATACACAATATATTTACAATATTATTGCAATTTAAAATAACTGTTTTCTATTTTAATATAATTTATAATGCAATTTATTGCTGTGATGGCAAAGCTGAATTTTCAGAACCCATTCCTTCAATCTTCAGTATTACATGATCCTCTGAAAATCATTCTAATATCCTGATTTGCTGCTTAATTATAACCATCAATGTAGAACAGTTGTGCTGCTAACGATCAATTTTGATCAATTGAATGTGTTCTTGCTAAATAAAAGTATTCATTTATTTAAATTAGAAAAAAAAAAACCAAAAAAACAATAAAAAAAACTTACTGACACCAAACATTTTGTCTATTTTACCATTTTCATATATGTTTTTGGTTCATGGCTCTGTAATCAAGCTGGTGTCCTGCTGATTATACTGACTGAACTGATGTTTCCAGATATTGGCAAGTGTTACCATCTGGTATGTCTGAGTTGAGCGTGGTGTACGTGTCCGTGCTCTTTATTCACCTGCTCTGGTAAGACTTTGAAGAGAGAGTTTAGATGTTACGTGACATACATTTCACTCCACGTATCTTTTTTATGTATTAGTTCATTAGTTTAGTAGTGTTGCCACCCAATGTAAGTTTTGGTTTGTTTAGTTAGTGTAGTTAAGGTGGGGCGTGTTGGTAGCACACCGAAGATGTTATTTTGATTTTAATTTTGATTATGCTAGTTTAGATTTAAATCCTTTGGTTAGAAAAGTTTTTTTTTTATTTGGTTATTTGATTTGGCAACACTTGTGCGGTCTTCATTATTTAGCTCATTTGTATTATTACTTCAAAGTTTAATTTCTTTTTGTTTATTGTTAATTGTAATTATATATGTGTATATATATATTGAATATCTTTAAAGACTGTTCCTTGTTATACTGGTTGGGGCTAAAGCAAATAAATGTCTTTTCTCTGTTTGAATTTGTGGTGTTCTCCTCTATCCTATTTGCACTAGGCTATATCCTATTTTTTTTAATAAATGTTACATCCCCTAAATATCCCTAGACAAATCAACAAGGTATTGGGACGTAACAGCAAGACATATTACCTCGCTCAATATCATCCATGGGAGATGATGGAGACATTTTCTCCTTGGGAGGAGAGCTCTTGGTGCTGGATGGAGCCTTGTTTCCACTTCCGGTCTTCATCTGCTGACTGAGCCTGCTGGTTTGCTGCTCCAGCCGTGACTGAATCTTACTGCTTCCCTCAGCCCTGTAAGGAAACAGAAACATGACACTTTATTTACTTAACAAAAGCTTTAAATGAGTATATCATGAAATATATTGTGAATCCATATGACCTGGAACACAAACGTATTAATACCTGGTCTTCTTGACGGCAATGTTGCTGCTGAGTTTCTCCAGACGATACTCTCCCGTGTCATGGTTAACAATGAGAACACATTCTTTCATATAAGGCCTTTTGGAACCTTTAAATACGGTAACAGGTGCTAAGGATCCCTGCAAAGATTGATGGGAAAGGAGATTCAGCTTAATCATCCATGCTACTGTACATACAATCATTTTTTTTTTGTGGGACTAAGGTTACTGAGCCTACCTCTAAGTTCGGTAGTGTGACTGTAACTTGCTCTCCTTTGCCCACTTCCAGCTCCCCCTCACATGTTGTGTCTATGGAGGCTGGTTTGAAATCATCTATGACCAGGAAGAAAACATTCGTATTTCATAATCATGTGTACCATTGCTGACATTCAACATAAGCAGTGTTGTACCAACGTAGAACCTACAGAGGGCGCGTGTTGCCTATTGTAGTGGAAAATAAGTAATTCCTCATGAATTAAATGTTTTCCAAGATCTCATTTTAAACCACAGCGTTTCAGCGGATAGAAAAGCGTGCTCGTTTAGGAAGGTTTCCATTATAAGCACAAAGACAGATGCTTTTTCATTATTTCCAAATAACATTAAAAAGCTGAGATAGGCAGCAAGGTGGAAAAACACATAGCTGCCTTCTCATATGCCTGTGCACATTGTTTAAAAACAACTTATGGTTTCAGTATCAACGTAAGAAACAGCTCTTTTTTTTTCAAAATATGATTTGTTTGTATGTGTTTATATAAATATCCTAATATAGAGATAATAATGTAAAATATGCCACTTACATCGTACCGTGTGGAATGCAATTTTAGGTTGTTTCTCAAAAGTTTCGCCTAGTTTGAGGACGTGTTCTTGATTGTCAAAGTTTGAATATGCTGTTCCATTCATTCTAATCACAATGTTTAATCATATGTTACCAGTTTTCAACTTTCTGCTCGATTCGATACCATCTAAGACAGAAAATGAAATAGACACCTCACTTCTGGAGTATGGACCCGTTGCTTGAGCTTGCTACGCTGTGATTGGTTGGGTTTGTGTACTTGGTCACGCCTCATTGGAGGTCTTCTTAACTGTAATTGGCTAAGAAAACTGTCAGTCAACGCTGACGCAACGACTGACGGAAGTGTCTATTTTTTACCCGAACGCATGAGTGCCCTCTAGCGCTCTCTCTAAGAAAATCCACTTGTCAGTTTGCAGTCGCAACACAAAGAAT